TAATAATAATATATAAGTGTGGTCTCACAAAGGGCTTCAAGAAGCAATGATGGTTGCTTTGAGAGTTGGGTTTGGCCTTAATTTTTAGGCAAAGCCATGATTGAGTTATAGGGCATTTCTCGTACGGACATTCAAAAAAAGGGCCAAAGTGTGTGATGTATCTTTCAAATGCTTTTTTGTGGTGGATGGAGGGAGAGAGTGTGAACCAGCTAAGCTCTTAACTCTTTTAGGGAGGAAGAGGAGCCTTACCTCTCACATTCATTTTGATGCCTTTTTTTTTGGGGGGGGGTGGGTTGTGTGGCGTTGGGTTCCTTTCTTGTTTCTCTTCCCGTGAATACGTGGAGAGAAAGAGATCTAACATATTTCAGTGAAATTATATATTCAGGAAAATTTTCAGATGTGATGAAGCTTCTTCAATGCTCTTTAGTCTTTACCTTGCCTCACTTTGAGTCTTTGCTCTTTTTGATCAGCATTCACTACATAATTAAAAATAGCTGGCTGCCTGTCAAGTATCAACATGCAAAACGATACACTATGAATGCATGCATTATTTAGCAATACCCCCAAACTCTCTTTCCCTCTAGCTTGGTCCTAATAAGTGGCTTCGAATTCCTAATGACAGGCATCCACACATGCAAAGTTTGTTTTTTGTTTTTAATTATTATTCATATATGAGCATATTTTGGCATCGATAAATGCAAATTTAACATATCAATTAATTATCTTCCTTGAAAATTAAACTGAAGTATCCAGCAAGTGGTAATAGAATGTCAATGGTACTCCTAGGTAGATTGCAACTCTTAAATAACTGAGACAGAATTGATCAGTGGGGTATTAGTTATTTTCATGCAGTTTTATAAATTCCACATAGCATATAGTAGTTTATTGACATTGGGTTGGCAGAGGTTAATTAATTGGCATAGAAGAGTAACTGCATGTGGCCAAAATTTTCCCCTTTTAGAAAACTTTGTCTATTTAATGAACTTATAATATCTGGCAAAACTAATAAAATTAAAAGCAACTTTAAAAACCAAGGTTAATGTGATAAATTCTATGCAATAATAAAGTTCACACAACCTCTCCAAAGATTCCAAATATTAGAGAAAAAAAAACAAATATAGTTAAAATACTAGTATTAGGTTTCTCTCCTTTAGATCTTATCCATGTGTTTTCTTTTCTTTTCTTTTTTTAATTTAATTTTGTTTTGCCCCCTCATTTTATTCATTTTCTTTTATCAGAAAATCATGCCTCCTCCTGGTCCCTATATCTGTCTCATTATATCATTGGGAGGGTAAAAGAAAATGAATCCCCCTTTCTGCCCCTCCTCTTCCTCCTCCTCTTCCCCAAAGAACATGTGACAGTGGGTCCACACTTTGCGAATTTGTCTGTAAAATATTGTTGGCTTGCCTCATTCTCAATCTCATCTGAATTGCACTGTAGGTATAGATATAAATGGCACCCAAGGAATGCTTTTGCCCCCTTTTTTTTTTCTTTCCTCCTAAAAATAGATAGATGTATGTACATTTTTATTTATTTTAAGATGGGAATATTTTTGTTCTCTTTTGTTCAGATTGTAGGATGGCTCCAAACCTATGAGTGGTGAAGGGTCAATTTCTATACTTCATATCAGTTTTCCATTGACTCCAACTTAAGTTCAGGATGAAAAAAAAAATTGCTGTCATTTTCACAGTAGAAATCTTCTTCCTTGCTTTAGCATTTCAGATTTAGACAAGGATTTACATACACTTTAGTCTCTATATCTCGATTTGAAAATAAATGGGACAGATTTACTTGTCATTTACACTACCTCCCTCTTTGATTTATTTGTTTATATGCTTTTTTTGAGACTTAGTCTTGTACTAATAGTTTAGAATGATGTGAACAAAATACCGAAGAAAATAAAAGCCCTAGAGTTGCATGATAAAAATTATAAATAACTCAGGCATGCATTAGATAAACCAACAACTACTTGTACACTTTTTACCTTTTCCGTTTAATGAAATGTACTAGTTCATTGTCTCTTCCTCAGGCTTACCCTTTCCTTTATTGTGTGGGGTAATGTATTGGCAATTATAAGTTTGATCTTTCAACAATTTCTTGGAGAAATGACAAATTACATCGTCCATTTTCAAGTATTAAATGTGAATAAATATATGTTTGAGCTACCACTTGATTGTTTGAAATGAAAATATAATATTAAAATAAAAAATGAACTTTTACATGCGGAATTCTCTTTTTTTTTAACAATTTAATATAAAATCAGACCAAATTTACATATTTGATAAGACTTAAAAAGGAACAAAAAAATAAAAGAAAGTGAAAAATTCTTTGATATTTTATAACCCGAAAAATATTATTATAAAGAAAAAAAAATGTGGTGCTAAATTCAAGAATAATGTGAGGGGGGTGGTCCATGGAATTTATGGAGACGCGGTCCCACAACACAATGTGATGCAAAACCCCAAAAAGCATCAAAAGCTATGGACCCCACGTTGCGTTATTGGCTTTCTTTTTCTCTGATGGCTCTGAGCCCCACCATAGGATGTCACCTGGTTTCCGGCAACCAACCGGTTGACTCACCCTCATGTTAACCGGCTATCTCCGGTTGCTTGGTGCCGGTTGGTGGCTTTGGGCCTATGGTCCAGCCCATCACGTGTGGTTGCTGTCAGGAAAAGAGGTGGCAGCTGGTGGGTGAGGGGACAAATGATTAGGGTTTTCAAAGATCTTTTGCTAAAGTTACTTGCTGGTGTACTAGATTTTGGACAGGTCACCCCTTTAAGGAGACCCTTTTTCATTTATCTTTCCTAGCCATGTTCGAATTCTGTTAGTAAATTTAAAAACTCAATCATTAATGTATAAACTTAATAATTTTTTGATATCACACACATATACAAAGATATTGTGGAGAAAAGAGTTTTATTGTTTTAATTAAAGAACTCCACTTAAAATTTATGATTTGATTTATGTTCATTCAATGTGTTTTATTATTCTTGAATAACTATAAAACTCTTTTAAAGCCAATCGAAGTTTGCTGGGCAATGGTTCCTTGGGCGTCTGACAAGGGAATTTGAATGCACATCCTAGTACACCAGTTTAAGACACCAAATTCGACACCCAATCATGATGCCCTAGTGTGCTATCAAACTCTTTCATCAACTATTATTATTTTTCCCTTCGCTGATTCTATTTCCATTGCTACTTAGATACACGAAAAAACCAATTTAAGTGTAAAATAATTAAATGTGAAATTTTAAACTTAAAAAAATACAAATTTATTCATATCTCTGGTTATTTATAAGTTGTAACTTTGTGAAAAAAAAAAATATAGCAAATACCTTGTCTTTTATACCTAAAAGAAATACCATGTTGCCTTTCTTATTCATACTTTGTTGTTATCTGCTTCTTCCAAATGCCCACAGAGGAACTTTCCAGTTCTACTCACCGCAAGAGTTTTTTTTTTTCTGATTTAATAAAATACCGAAAGAGGCATTTTTACAACAAGATTATTTATTTAATACAAATTAACTAATTAAAAAACTATAATCATTTTATTCAAACGGTCTAAGCATGTTTATATTTTGACTCTACCTCTGATTAACAATGAATAACTAATACTATCAAGTAAATTAAATAACAATTTTCGGAAGAAGAGCTGCCGCTGCCAGATTCCAATTAAAAATTTGTCATGACGCCTTGTATTATTTAAAAAAAAAGTATATAAAAAATAAAAAAACATATAACAAGAAATAAAAGCATTAATCAAACTAAGTTGGATTCTTTCTTTCATTATGTTATGGAAACTTACAAAATTTACAACTACAATTGAGGTGCATTTGATTGCAATAATCATCAATGAAATGCTAAATAAGGTACAAGATTCCATTAAAAGATCTTAATAATGGTGAATTTATTTTTAATTATTATAAAAGTAAACTTAACCTTAATAAAATAATTACATATGATATGCCATGCTGTGATTTGTCCGATATTAAAAATTTTTTATACAAACACTTATACCCTCCTAGGCTAGAGAATGAGTAAGAACCTTCAAATTGAAAAAGGTCATTTCTTTTTTAATCATAATTTCCTTATTTGCTTCAACCTTGCCAGCAAACTTAAAGCTGTAGTGGGTCCCTAACCCATTAAAAACCCACACCCTGACAATAAAAGGAAAAAAAAAAAGAAAAACCCCAAGTTTAGGAAAATTAAAATTCAATAAAAACCTTAAAATAAAAAAAAACCAAAATGTAAAAACAAAATTTTTTAAAAATATCGTCCGCATTTTCTCTTATCTACATTTGGCTAGTTACCAAAAACTCCTCACGCATCACTTCATCTTAAGACAACACTACCTCTTCCCTACAACAAGAAGTCTCGTTCAGACACCGCCTTCGTTGTCCTTTTTGAGCGACACTTCCTTTATTACCGTTACTGAAAAGAAAAAGAAAACAGCTTAGTTAATTAATTAAGGGTATAATTATTAATGTAACCATGGGTTAATTAACCAATAATTAGCTAAACATAATTATTAATTCAATAAATAAATATAACACAAAAGAATTAAAAAAAAAGAGAAAAATGGTTTTGTCTTCCCCAATAAAATGAGACCAAACTTAGGCTCTGAGGATTCCTTCTCAGAGACACTGCCCCCTTCTTTTTCTCTTGACACACATAGCAAAGCAAAGCAGAGACATATATATATATATACATATATATATATATTATAGATAGAGACTTTGTGACATAGCAATACAAGAACAACAAATATGTTTGAGACAGAGGTTCTTGTTGATCTATGGCCAATGTTTTTCTTCTTCCTTGTCTTAAAAATATGTTCTAGTTTGTGGCTTTGAAAAGCTTCTAAAGTTGGAAAAAGTGAGTTATAGGAATAAAAAAGAAAATACTGAGCAAAGCTTTTTTGAAGTATTTATATATTTATATATACTAGTTGTCTGGGTGGTGGTGGTGGTGGAGATGAATAATGGTGGGGGTGCGGAGGGGGCGGTGGAGGGGGGGCGGGAGTGGTGGTGGTGGGGGGATGGGGACAGGAGGAGGGATGATGGCAATGAGGTCATCACCATTTACAGTGTCACAATGGCAAGAACTGGAACATCAAGCTTTGATCTTTAAGTATATGATGGCAGGTTTGCCTGTGCCACATGATCTTGTGCTCCCTATTCAGAAGAGCTTTGAGTCCGTTTCTCATAGGTTCTTTCACCACCCCACCAGTAAGCCAAAAAAATTTCTTTTTTCTTAGCTTCTTTAAAACCCTCTCTCTTTCTCCTTTTTATTATCTTTTTAAGATTTGATGTTTTGATTTTTTTCCCTTCTTTTCTGGGTGTATTTTGTATTGATTTGAGGAACCTTGTTAGTGATTGGGTGTCTTTTTCTTTTTTCTGGTTTAAGAGGAATTGGGAAATTTTTTCTTTCTCTGTTTTTTCTGTTTTTTTTTTTTTTTTTTCTTTTTTGAAAAGCATAGGCAATCATAATCAGACTTTTTTTTAAAAAAAATTGTTTTAAACTTTTTGTTATTTTTAATAGGTAAAATATAACCAAAATAAAGAGATTACTCATTTATTAGAAATGATTTTCCCTTTTAATGGATTTGAAGATAAAGTTTTTTATATAGATGTTAGATGAGTAGATATTATTTGATGTTTTCATGGATGTTTATAGTTCCAATGGATAGATTGGGAAACATTCCTTTTACCAGCTAAATTAATTGACTTTGATAATAGCAGTTGGGGTTTGTGGGTAGTCTCTTTACTTGATCATTAAAATCACGTTTCAAGGACAAAATTGGACCCTTTTGCTGTTTTTCTCAAATTTCTTGCAGATAAATTCCAAAACAAATTTTCTATGTTTCAATTGGTTTGCCTTTTTTGTTTAAGTAGGTTTCTTGTGACCATCATCTTCATGGATTTTATGCTGATATTATGGATTTTACATATATACTTTTATAGTAGTTTATGCCAAAAGATTCTTGTGGCTGATGCTAAATACTTTTCATCTGTATTTCTTTAGTCATCCATGTGATATTGTTGATGTCTTAATCATCAAGTGTTTTATCACTTTTGACATTTTTTATTCATATTCTGATACTTATGATTTATAGAGTTATATAACGTTATTGTTTTAATCTATTATGTTGTTGTCATTGGTTTTGTTGTATTTTATTTAACTTGGAACATAATTTATTCATGTTTTGTTACACTTGTTCATGTTTGTTCATGAAAACCTTGTTATAAATCAGAGGTGAGTGTGATTTTGCAGTGGGGTACTGTTCCTTCTATGGAAAGAAGGTGGATCCGGAGCCGGGACGATGCAGGAGAACCGATGGCAAGAAATGGCGGTGCTCTAAAGATGCATACCCGGACTCCAAGTATTGTGAGCGGCACATGCACCGTGGCCGTAACCGTTCAAGAAAGCCTGTGGAATCACAAACTATGACACAGTCATCATCTACTGTGACATCACTAACTGTTTCTGGAAGCAGTGGCGGGACTGGAAGCTTCCAGAACCTTCCGTTACATGCCTTTGGTAGTACACAAGGCACTGCTTCTGGAACCAGTCAGTCCCATTATCATATGGAGTCGATCCCCTATGGAATCCCAAGCAAAGATTATAGGTAATTCATTTTATGTGTTAAGTTTCACATAGTTTCATTCTTTGCTCATAATAGAAAAAATTGAACTTAAAACTGGATTCCATTATTATATTTCTTTTCCATTTTTAGTAAGTGAGCATAAGAAAGGTTTGATGTTAAATTCTATTCTCTTTTGTTTATGGTAATTTCTTCACAATTAGAGAAAGGTTTGTAATTTTGCTCCAATATTTTTTTTTTGAAACTTTTTTTGGAGCATTAGATTGTTAGCCTTCTCAGTTTGTAAATTGTTGAAAATATGTTTTGTGGTATGAGTTTTGGATTTTTTAGCCGTTGTACTGATGTAAGATATATTGTTTGTTGGGCCCATATCTGTTATATTGTGTGGTAGGAGTGAAATTGCAGATTCCTGCCCATTTGGGTAATGGAGATGTTGCAGAAACTTTAAAAGTTTCTGTTAAGCTCAGGGTTCTGGGCCCTGGTGTCCTCAAAGATGGATGATAAAATCAGTAGTGTGATAGCCGAAATTTGTTCTTCGCTGACAGTTATTCTTTTTTGGTCCGGTTCTTTGCTTTTGTTTTCTCCATGAAATTCATTTTGTTGTCTGACAGCCATGAGAAATTGTCCAGAGCATACTACCGGGTGAGAAATTATCCCACTCATTCTGTTTCTGTCTAGTGGGATAGATACTCTTTTTTTTTGCAGAATTTGATCCCAGGATTACCTAAAATCTGCTAATAGAAGGGAACAACTATTTGTCTTCCAAATTATTTCAAAAGATAGTTTCTCAGTGCATGGATATATACATGTGTTTTATTTTTACAACCTAAGCTTGTAGTTTATCATTGTCATTAGTTGTTCCTCATGGTGTTCAAAACTTGTTCTCCGAAATGAATTTCAGAAAGCTATAGAATGTTAAATATGCAGCTAATCTTGTTCTTATTTGGCCTGTTGATGATGTAATGTAGTACGTTTTATGTTGGAATGCTCCCATGATGTGGGTGATGGATAGGTTCCTTGAACTTTTTAATTTTCTGCAATTTCAGGGTTCGGGGCCCATATGTCCATCAGGACAGGGTAGAATTCCATTGTCACAGTAGAGTGTGTTTTTTACGGTCTTCTTTTGAGTCTGTTTCTTTGCTTTCTGTTTCCTCTGTTTAATTCCATTGCAGAAATCTGACAAGCATTCTGAACTAGTGGCATATTGACCCTCTTTGTTTTCTGTCAAAAGGGAAAGATGCGAAAGGTAGAATTTGCATTTAGTGGTGTTGCTGGAACCTTGTATATGACCTGCAATCTTTTGAAGAAAATGACAGGGTATCCTGAGTCTGAGGTCGTAAAAGATAGCTATACGAAGTGTAACAACTCTGTCTGTACCTGTGTTTTACTTTCTATGATATCGTAAAAGGACTTAGTAAATCATCTGTTTCTCAAATTACTTTTGCCTGCAAATTTGTAAGTATTCTGTTTTTTTTTTCTTTCCTGGTTAAACTTGTCATTTCCTTCTTTATCTGACAGTTCTTCACTGTTGCTAGGTTAATTCTTGAGCTTAAATATTCTTTCTTCTCCTTTTATTATGCTGTCCTGTAACTGTAATTCTTAAAAGCACAAGCTGTTCTGCTTTGGAATTAGCATTTACTTTGTAACACTGTTAGCTTTGCAGCCACCTAGTTTCTGATAGTCTTTTATTGCAGTGGCTGCAAAAATGCTTGAGGAATTGAATAATTGAATAATTTTCATGTTTATTTGGTTGGTCCAAATGCTCTGGATTCTGAAAACATTGTAATTGGATGGCAGAGGTTTCAATATATCCATGTCATTCCATGATGTCTATGCAGTTAGACTGTGCAGATTCATTTAATCCTGTCATTTTCTCTAGCACATATGCTTGACTTGCTTGAGTTTTCACCTGTGATGTTATTATCATTTCAATTCCATAATTTTTTTTAACTCCTACTTTCTCCTTTTTGTGGAATAAGCTTAGACTGTCTCATTGTAGTGCCTTTATATTACATAGCTCCTACATCCTAAATTCTTATAAGTTCAGGCTGCTAATGCATTCTGACTGTGCAGAATTCATGTTATTTTAGTCATTTATACTGAGTTTCATGATGTTTCACTATTTCTGTTCTATTCATCTATTGCTTGGATTCTGTCATTTGTTCTCCCTTTATTTCTCTGCTGCATTTCGGATAAGTGTAAGACTGCCTCTGTGCTATACATGCATGTCTTTCGTCCCTTAAATGATTTCTGACACAATTTAACTGGATTATGAGAAGGACGCATCATGGTTGGTGATGCAATATTGAAAAAAGCTCACCATGGAATCCTTGTCTTTAATAACATCTTCATACAGATACATTAGAATGAATTAAATGATCTTGTTCTCCATTTCTGTCTGATGATGCTGGATATTTTCAGTTGTGTGTTTTAAAATGCATGTTTGTTGGTTTAATTATTTTTTCTAACAAGTATGCTGAGTTTACGAGCATGTCAATTTGTTAAATACCACTTGACATTTAGACCTTGTTTCTTTATATAAAGATGTGAAGCTGGTTAACCATATTTTAATGTGTTTCTCTCAATTCATTATAACACACAGGTATCTTCAAGGACTTAAACCTGAGGTTGGTGAGCATAGTTTCTTCTCTGAAGCTTCAGGGAGCAACCGGGGCCTCCAGATAGAAACTCAACTGGACAACACATGGCCTCTTATGCAATCTAGAGTCTCCTCGTACCCTCAGTCAAAATCTAGTGGCAGCCACATCTTACAGAATGATTATCCCCAGCATTCATTTTTCAGCAATGAATTTAACTCTGGAGAACCTGTGAAGCATGAGGGTCAATCTCTTCGACCTTTCTTTGATGAGTGGCCAAAACCCAGGGACTCTTGGTCAGCTCTTGAAGACGAGAGATCCAACCAGACCTCATTCTCAACAACCCAGCTCTCCATATCCATTCCAATGGCTTCGTCTGACTTCTCCACAACTAGTTCTCGTTCTCCGCATGGTGAGTCTCAAACTGCGTAGATATTCCCGCAGATGTCCTACTTTTGTCTAAAACTTGCCTTGGAATTGTGCTGCAGATAGTTGAAGGAACAGAATCCGAGAATTCTGGAACTCTACTAGAGAAGGCCCAGACAAGTTCTAGCTACTGGACTAAAATATTGTACCCCTTGATGATTTTCGTTTGCCTCTGTTGTTCTAGAACTGTGGGTTTTCAGCATCACTGTCTTGTGTATTAGTACACTGCAAGGTTCAGGTTTTAGGTATAAAATAAAACAAACCCTAGCAGGTAACTGAAAAAAAAAATCCAGAACATTGCGGTTTGAATTGAAAGAAAGAGCAACAATTTTCCTGCATGGATTTTATTATTTACATGGTAAAAAAATTATAGCTAGCTTTAGAAATGTGAAGTTGGTGGTGGTTGTGGCCTTGTGCCTGTTTTTGATGTGTAGTTGGATTATTGCAGTGATTGTGCTTAATGAAATACCATTAAGCTTATGCTCAATGACCATATATGCAGTCCAAGTAAATTCTTCATTGGTAGAGTTCTACTGCTCCAATCTGAGGGTTCTATATCTCAACTTCACACCCATTTTTACCAGTTTGAGTCAAGTAAGTCCAAGTGGTTGTATTAGCATTGAATTTTCAACTGAAAAATCAGGGCACAAGACAAAGGTACACAATGATTTAACACAACTCCTTAATTAAACAATCAGAGTGGGAAAAACATGAACATTTGTGGACAAAGATGCGATTGAAGCAAGTGTGATGTGCTTAAATAGTGTTGCTTTAAATTTCTTTCCTACTTTATTTTTATCCAAGTAAGTCTTTGGGAATTCTTTTGTTTGGATGCTAGCCTGTTGGTAAAGAAATTAATGCTACAATTAAATGCTAAAAAAATTGATTTATGCTTTGTATTTTTATGAATTTTTTAGTATTGATTAAGAATTTTACCTATGTTTTGTTCAAACTAAATTAATTACTACATTACAATAGGTAAAAGTATGTCTAATTCTCTGACATTATACATTATACAATAAGGGAAGAGATTAAAAAACATAGACAAGACAAAATAACATTTATTAAATACAAAATAAAATAAATAAATAAGTTTAGTACATTCCGAATTTTTTGGTAAAAAGTTTTTAATTTGGATTCATTTTTATTTTTTAAATTAAAAATTTGGAAAGAAATAGATTTTTATTGCAAATTTTATAAAATTTTTATTAATTAAAATGTTTAAAAGCATAAAACATTTTGGTTAAAAAGGAATAGCTGTGACAATTTAACCTAGAGAGAATATAATGTAAATAATTTATAAATTTAAGTATATAGTAATTGGGAAAAAAAAAAAGAAAGAAAGAAGAGAGAGCGAGAGCACAAAACGTCGGCAAGCGTGCGCATAGGGAAACGTGAAGAAGAAAGGACAGAGAGTGGTGGGGCCCAAGGCCCAAGAGAGGACAGGGTGTTGTTAAAGCGTCAGTGATTGTTGGTGTGGGAACCATACATCACGTGCTTCCTTCCCTCTACGGATTTCCCACATTTTTTATTATTTGTTTTTTCACTGGACGTACACCTGCGTCATTTCTTGTTCCCGGCCACGTCTCTCCCCCCACTTTTTGGGCCCTTTTTGTCTGCCTTATTACATCATCATTCATCATCTCTGTTTTTTTTTTTAGCAATTATTGTTTTTTTTATTACTAAAAAAGTGTGGAAAAATCTCTTTCTATTTTAACACAAGAAAGAGGACACGGTTTGTCCATTCGGAAGGGTTTGGTTGGGCCATGATTTTTTCGGTTATTAGGGATTGCAGATGGTAATATCACACAACCTGAGCCCACAAATGTTTGATTTTGGGTTTGGGTTTTGAATCCTGAGAAATTCTGGGTGTAAGAAATTTTTATCTTCCATTGCGTCAAGTACAGCTTCCAAGCCAACCGAACCGCAGCGTTCCTCCCCATTTCTAAGGAAACTACTCCAGCAGATCAGCAACGTACAAATACCACAGAGGAACTCTAGAAAACCAAAAAGAACAAAGAGTTTGAGAGAGAGAGTTTGTAGAAGAGATGGGGTGGGGATGGGCGATCTGCGAAGGAATGGTGGTCATTGGATCGCTTGTTCTTCTTGGATGGGCAGGTCTTTGGTTCTTAAACCGAAGACTTTACAAAGAGTACGAGGAGAAAAGAGCTTTGGTTCAGATCATTTTCAGTATTGTTTTCGCTTTCTCTTGTAATCTTCTCCAGCTTGTTCTTTTCGAGATTATCCCTCTTCTCTCCAGAGAGTAAGAGTCTCCTCCGCTCTCTCTTTGCATCTTCTTTTTGTTGATTGGAAATTTGGTTTTGTTAGTTTAGTCTAATTTTGCTTTCAGGAGTTAACTATAGTTCTATAAATGTTTAGGAGTTTCCAAGGGCATCTACTTTTATCGGTTTTGCTTTGTGACTAGAGGAAATGAAGTTGAATAAAATTTTGAGTGCATCATATGGGCTTTTTTGACATTTATTATTGAGAAATGGGAATGCGTAGGAATTTTTGAAAATTGGGTTTTTGATAGATGTGGTTTTAATGTAAGTATGTAAGTAATGCGACTTAACTTGTGTGATTTGTGCTTTATTAGGATTAACTTTCCATGTATGTTAGGTGTTTTGAGTGTTTTAGTTATATGGGTTTTGTTTGTTTTGTTTTTGGTTTTTTGGGTTGCTTTTGAATGGGAAAAAGAAGTTGAATTAAAATTTGATTAGTAGGGTTTTCCTGGTTTTGTGGGACTAATTCAACTCTTGGCAACTGGTGAATGTATTTTGCATATGGAGTTATTAATTGCTTTATTTATTTTTTAGTATCTTTTGGTTGTTACTTTATTTACTTGCCTTTTGCTTTTAGAAGACTGGTGTGCTTGTTTGTTTGGTTCTTAGAAAATTTATCAGGCATGGCATTTACGTAGGTGAATTTTTATGCCTAACCTATGTTATATGGACTTGGGATAGGGTGATGGGCACGGGTATGTTATGTTTTTGACAATTTTTTTCATTATTTTTTACGATTAAAATGCAATATCCATATGAATAGTGAAGTATCCAAGAAGTGTTGGACACGGTTTTGTTAGGGTAAAGTGAAGAGTCTGTGTAACATAGTGTCTAACTAATTTGCTTCCCTCTGTATGTGATATTTTGTTTATTGGAAGAAAATGTTAGAAGGGAAAAGTGTGGTTTTAGAATTGATTTTGATGGTATTGGTGTTAATGAACTACTGAGCTTGATCTTCCGCCCAAAGGGTAATGTTAAGTGAATCGATTCTTTTTGAAACATGAAAATGCATATACGGATTAGTAGAAGTCCCCTTTCTGAATTCTTAAGAAAACAAAGTACATTAGACTTCTAAATATTTAGTTTTTTGGTTGTTCTGGAGAAGTTACTATTATTGATTTGTGATTCTTTTGTTCTTAATTTTATTAATTCTCTAGGGTGGTTTGTAAGCATGGTTTTAATTAATTGGGCCACAAGGGATATGACCATGATGTCATTTTTTATCTCCAAAAAGAAAAAAAGAGAGAAAAAATGCCTTACGTAATGAGCATTTTGCGAGTAGTTATTGTTTGTGTCCATCATGTCCTTTCGCTCTTCCTTCATTTTATAGTTTGTTACTATATTTTAGTGTCCAACATGAAATCATGCCCTCCTTCTGGTTGCTTATTTGAATTTTGTTACACTCATTACCTCATTCTCTAATAGAATGTTAATTCACATTGTTTTTGTTGGTAGGGCAAGATTGATAAACTGGAAGGTGGACCTATTCTGTTTGATTTTGCTATTGGTTTTCATGTTGCCTTATTACCATTGTTACTTGATGCTTTGCAACAGTGGTAAGTTTGTGTTTTTCTTAATGCCAATTGAGTTCTTTAACTCCATGTTTCTTTTATAATCTAGTATTATTTTCTTAAATTTGCTATTTTTCTTGTGAGGGTTAATGTTAAAATGTTAACATTTTTGAAAACTTTGCTGTGTCTCCTTTTAAATTTAACTGTCTACATTCTTCAATATGACCATCATATTTAATCAGTTAATTCACTGGAGAATGGTGAATATACTCTGTTTTTTTATCATGGATTTATATGTCTATGTCGCACAATTGAGTTTTGAGCTGAGAGGGATCTGTGAGGGGAGTTAAGAGTGTTTTTAAAAATGTCACTTGGTGCCTTTGTATATGGGAATGCAGTGAGTGAAGATTTCTGAGGCCAAACTTGCTAGTTGCTAAAAGACAAAATAAATAACATCTTAAATGGGTTCATTGATTATCTGTAGGCCTCCTGATGTTTTCTGCATGTTCATTTCAGGTGTGAGGAAGGAGCGGGCTGGATTGGGAGCTATCCTATTCTTGTTGGCATTTCTCTATGCTTTTTGGCGCATGGGCATTCACTTTCCCATGCCCTCTCCTGACAAAGGTTTTGGATTTTCATTTAGTTAAGTTCATAGTTTCAATCTTTATGACATGCACATGCAGAAAGTCATCATGTTTTGTTAACATATTTCTTGCCCTCTGTTCTGATTGGATTTGGTTTCAATCCATGACCTCTTACGTAGTCTGTAACTTGAGGAAATGACTTCAAAGGTTGATCTTAATGATACAACACTGCACCTGAACTTTTTGGGGGCTGCTTAGCATTAAAGATTGGAGGATGTTTATAATTTGATGGTAATGGAGCAAATTTGGGGCCTTTTAAGAATTTAGAAAAACAATGTAGGTTGCAGTAGTCCTGGAATATTAGCTGGGGCCAAAGAGAAATTTATGGTTGGTTTGGAGGTTTCAATTGTAAAATAGAACAATAATATTTTGGGTTGTGGATAAGGCAAAGAGATCAGTGACACCCTTGGCGTTTTTGCGTTTCTTATCTCTTTAAAAGATTCCATTTCTGCCTGGCTATTTCTATGCCGGCAAAAGCTGGATTTTCTTGCCAGTTGTCAGTAACCTGGATTCAAGGATAATGGGTTAAATGTTAATATATCAGCAACAAGGAAAGAAAAGTCTTATTTTAAATTTATGCATAGATCTTTTATGCAAGTGTTTCAGAAATATTAGCTAGTTCTTTCCAGCTGCTCAGCTTCTTCTGATTTTGATTTTCAGGTTTCTTCACAATGCCTCAGTTGGTCAGTCGAATTGGTGTTGTTGGAGTAACTGTCATGGCTGTCCTATCTGGTTTTGGTGCTGTAAATTTGCCATACAGCTATTTGTCCCTCTTCATCAGGTACTGAGATGTACTAAATTGTCGATTTCTTGGTTTTTGGATGCAGGAGAGTTAAACAGATTTTATTCCTGCATGTTTCATTATAAATCTAACCTTTTACCTCTATTAAGAACATTATTTCCTGCATTTCTGTTATGCTTGTTTGGTATTATGTTTGGTCATAACTTGTTTGGGCAACCTTATTTCTTCTCTTCCATCACCTTTGGTTTATGTGATCTTCCACTGATTAGTTGGAAGCAATTCAAGAAGATGGGATGTCCTTGAACAAAATAAAGGCATCATGAATATATTTGCTTAGGTACCGGAGACAAGTGCTCAGGAATTGGATGAGGGGAAAACCCAGGGAATAGTTACAGTGTATCAATTAATGTAGGAGAGATATTTTTTCTTGTTATGAGGCTGAACCAGTTGCAAGGAGTGAAGAGGGTTTGAGGAAGATTATACCAGCAGAAATAGTAGGATGGGTGAAGGTGGAGTGATTTGCATATCTATTGAAAGCTTTCAGAGATTCTGCCATTTCCAAGAAGTGGCAGGTCAGGAATGGTCATGTTATGGTTTGACAATAGCGCGGCTGTAAGAAGTTGGAGGTTGCACTTATTACAAATTATGGCTTATAAGGAGTTGTCTGAGATGTGTCTGGTTAAATTTTTGTGGCTGAAATTGGGACTTCAAGTTTTCATGATGTAGCCAAAGGGTTTAGGGCAATTGGAACTCAACAATTAGGGCTAGAATAGGGTTGATTGTGTTGGAACAATAAAAAGATAATTGGGTTTTAAAAGAAACTTCTTGAATAAATATTCAAAAATAACAAAAGAAGATAATAATAATCTTCTATCTAAGATCACCTATTTATAATAGCTAAGATAAATACTAATCAAATAGTAATCCTAATCCTAAATAAAGACTTAAAGTACTAAAATTCTAATAAAGATAGGAAAAAGAATTTCAAACTAAATAAAATAAAGAAAATAAAATCCTAAGCTAATGAAAATACTAAATAAAATAAAATTCTTAATACGCCTACATCAGTCTCCTCAAGTTAGAAAAACTCGGCTCTGACGAGTAGGCCTTAATATATTTCTCATAGATGTCTGGATTCACTTGTTTCAACTTCTCTTCATTATTACCTTGAGC